CCACTACCACTACCACTACCACTACCACTACCACTACCACTACCACTACCACTACCACTACCTACCACTACCACTACCACTACCACTACCACTACCACTACCACTACCACTACCACTACCACTACCACTACTACTACCACTACCACTACTACTACCACTACTACTACTACTACTACTACTACTACTACTACTACTACTATTACTACTACTACTACTACTACTACTACTACTACTACTACTACTACTACTATTATCACTACTACCTCGGCCACCATTACTACTACTATTACTACTACTGGTACCGTCCCGGTTAGCGGCCGCGCTCACTGCCCACCCCGTGCGCACCCCCTGTGCTGTCGAGAATATGCCACGCCTGCCGTGCCCTGGACGACCGCCACGGATAGCGGCAACCCCGTGCGCACCCCTTGTGGTGTCGAGAAAACGCCACGCCTGCTGCGCCCTGGACGACCGTCACGGATAGCGGCCGCGCTCAGGGACCACCCTGTGCTCACCCCCTGTGGTGTCGAGAAACCGCCCCGCCTGCCGTGCCTTGGACGACCGTCACGGATAGCGGCCACCCCGTGCGCACTCCGTGTGGCGTGGAGAAAACGCCACGCCTGCATTGCCCTGGACGACATTGTCGGATACCGGCCGCGCTCAGGGACCACCCCGTGCGCACCCCCCGTGGCGTCGAGAAAACGCCACGCCTGCCGTGCCCTGGACGACCGTCACGGATAGCGGCCGCGCTCAGGGACCACCCCGTGCGCACTCCCTGTGGCGTCGAGAAAACGCCACGCATGCGGTGTGCCTTTGGACGACCGTCACGGATAACGGCCGCGCTGGCACCCCCTCCGGTGTCGAGAATGTGCCACGCCTGTTAGGCCCTGCGACATTGGCGCGTATAGAGACCGCGCTGAAGGACCACCCCCTGCGCACCCCGTTGAGTGTCGAGAATGTGCCACGCCTGTTAGGCCCTGCGACATCGGCGCGTATGGAAACGGCGGAGAGGGACCACCCCCTGCGCACCGCCTCTGGTGCCGAGAAAGTGGTACGCCTGCAAGGCCCTGCGACGTTGGCGCGTGTAGAGACCGCGCTGAAGGCTCACCCCCTGCGCACCCCGTCCGGTGTCGAGACAGTGCCACGCCTGTTAGGCCCTGCGACATTGGCACGTACAGAGACCGCGCTGAGGGACCACCCCCTGCGCACCCCCTCTGGTGTCGAGGAAGCGCCACGCCTGCTAGGCCCTGCAACATCAGCGCGTATAGAAACCGCGCTGAAGGACCACCCCTTGCGCACCCCCTCCGGTGTCGAGGAAGTGCCACACCTGCTAGGCCCTGCGACATTGGCGCGTATAGCGACCGCGCTGAAGGACCACCCCCTGCGCACCCCGTCCGGTGTCGAGAATGTGCCACGCCTGTTAGGCCCTGTGACATTGGCACGTATAGAGACCGCGCTGAGGGACCACCCCTTGCGCACTCCCTCTAGTGCCGAGATAGTGCCGCGCTTGCCGTGCCTGCGCATCCTATACGCGTGTTTTGTGTATGGCGTGCCATCTATATGTGTATGATGGTTGTGCGGCCGTATCTGGACGTGTGTCCCATGTGGGTTCGCAGTATGTGGTGCAGACGTCTTGGGTATATAACGCAGTGAACACGCCAGGCGTGCACTAGCGTTGTACGGTGTATGTTGTGTGTGTGTGCGAGTGTGTGCGAGTGCGTGCATGCGTGCGGCTGCATGTAGACGCGTGTCTCATGCACGTGCCGTGCATGGGTGTTGCTCGTGGGTGAAGCGAGGAAGGGAGTGGAGGAGGGGAAGAAGGAGGAGGGAGGGGAGGTGTGTGCGCGGCAGACGCGGGTGCGACGTGGCAGGGATGAAAACCATAACCCCACGAAGCATGTGGGGAATAAACGAAAGCGGTGAGGAGAGTGTCAAACCCTGCCCACCCAATCTGACATGCGGAACACTGCGCCTCAGCTTTGGGGATCTTGAGGACCAGGGCAAAATGTGAATTCACATTGTAGGGAAAAGCAAGATGTGAATTCACATGTCGGGAAAAAGGAACAGGTGAATTCACATGTGGGAACAAAAAGAAAATGTGAATTCACATTTTGGAATTTGGTATATGAATATTTATGAAGGGGCCAGAGTGTGAATTCAGATTCTGGGACAAAGGAACATGTGAACCCCACCAGCCCTTTAGGGCGTCGGTGGTCTAGAGAGCATCCTCTTCCAACCCCCATTCTTTCCCTTCTGGGAGGGGTTTACCCATCCCCTTACCCCTCCCCAATGACCTGGACGGGGCGTTTCGCGACGCGTTGGGACGTCCAAGATGGCCCAAGATGACTCCAAGAGCGCGCCAAGAGTCCAAGATGACCTCCAAGATGCCTCAAGATACCCTAAAATGCCTCAAGATGGCTCCGATGATGCTCCAAGAAACCCAAAGACCGCCCCAAGACGGCCCCAAGTGGCCAAACAGCTCCCCAAGGAGCCCCCCAAGAGGCCAAAATCAAGCCAAAACCTAAGGAACATCAATGTTTTTGGCTTTCTCGCTTTTTCGGTTTCGATGGCCATTCGAGGCCTCAACACAGCTCCAAGATGGCCCAAGAGGGCCCCAAGAGAGGCCCCAAGAGAGCCCCCAGACGGCCTCAAGAGCGCTCCAGGGTCGCCTCACGAGGGGCCCAAGAGGCGATTCGAGGTACTCTAGAGGGGCGACGCTAATTCAGAACCCCCCCTTCCTTGATAGATCTCATCCAAGATGGCCCCAAGAGCGCCCCGAAAGCGCCCAAGAGCGCCCCAAGAGTGTCCCAAGAGGGCCCCAAGAGGCCCCAAGAGGCGCCCACGAGGCCTCCAAGACGCTCCCAAGAGACCCCCAAGAGGCCAAAATCCGTCCACAACGTATGGGCAATCAATGTTTTTGGCATTCTCGCCTTTTCGCATCCGATGGCCATCCGAGGCCTCAAGATGGCTCCGAGATGGCCCAAGAGGGCCCCAAGAGAGGCCCAAGAGGGCCCTAAGACGGCCCCAAAGGCGCCCGAGAGCGCCTCAAGAGGGCTCAAGAGGAGATTCGAGGGCCCCAGGAGGCCCCAAGAGGCGCCCGGAAGGCCTCCAATGGGGCTCCCAAAAGACCCCCAAGAAACTCCCCGAGATACGCTAGAGGCCCCTGGAACCGCCAAGAGGCCCCAAAGACGGCCCAAGAGGCCCCCAACCTCGCCATTGTCCTCCTCCTCCTCCTCCTCCTCCTCCTCCTCCTCCTCCTCCTCCTCCTCCTCCTCCTCCTCCCCCTCCCTCCTCCTCCTCCTCCTCCTCCTCCTCTTTTTCGTCCTCCTCCCTCCTCCCCCTCCCTCTCCTCCTCCTCCTCCTCCTCCTCCTCCTCCTCCCTCCTCTCCTTCTCGTCCTTCTCGTCCTCCATGTCCTCGCCCTCCTCCATATCCTCATCATCATCTTCCTCCTCCTCCTCCTCCCCCTCCTCCTCCTGCTCCTCCTCCTCCTGCTCCTCCTCCTCCTCCTACTCCGACGACGACGACTCCTACATCCTCCCCCTCTTGGGGTATATGGCGGCTTACCCCGCCCTTTGTTCTTCTGCATGCTCCCCCGCTTCCCTCATCCCCTCCACTCCCCTGGGACTGGTTTCTGGACGGGCTGGTGGGGATACGCGAAGCGTCTAGAATTCAAATTTTGGATAGAGAGAGACAGATAAAGAGAGAACAAAAAAAAGAGATGCGAATTCACATGTCGGGGGAAATCGCGGGGCCCATTCCGAATATGTCTTTGGGGTCGACAAATCATCGTTTGGGAACATACGCGATCATCGATCGCACAATCAAGACACACTTGCACTCCATTGCGCCGCCCCACGCGCGATATGCAAGAACGCACGCACGCACGAACGATAATGGATGGACGGCGCGTTTGCCCGCGCGGGCAACTCGCGGGCACGAACAACTGGCCCTCCATGACCGCCAACATTGGATGCCAATCATGCCCGATCACATACATGAGCGATACATTGAGCATGCATGGGCCATTCAGCCCCATTGAAGACCCCCTGTTGCAGACCCCTTCTTTCACCCTTCACAGAATCCCCCCAAACATTACCCAGCTCGCTCAACAATAGAGGGAACATAATCTCGGCCACGACGAGGAGGTCGAAGGACCAGTCTCATCCACCGCCGAGAGATCAGGGAGGGGGGTCAACACTAAAAGCCTCGTAGGGCTACCGACACAAGATGCTCGAGCTTCACAGCTAACTCCGGAGTGCGCTCCACGAGAAACTCTGGGGCTATCGCTTCCGATCGGGGATGGACAGACCCCCCTTTAGCAAAGCGTGGTTTAGTGAAAACGACCTGAGGCCCAAACCTGGCGGGCGCAAGCCTGGAAAATGACGGCCGCGGCGCCCTCTCGAGAACCGAAAACGGACAATTCACTAATCGACGTGTCACTGCTGGGGGTTCTGTCCGCCCCCGACTCTGGGGCTCTCGCTTCCGACCAGACCCCGCCCTGCGCGGCTGGCGCCACGACTCCTCCCCGCCGCCGCGGCCCCCTGGGCGGCGGCCCGCCCCCCCCCCCCGCAGCCGCCGCGGTCCTTGAAGCTCCGGCCGCACACGGGACAGTGCACCATGACGTCGGCCTCGTACAGGGCAGTTTTTAAGACATAGGATTCTCAAACATATAGGAATGTTAATACATGATTAATTTCTGGATACATTTGTGCATGAACTCATCGTTGTTTCTAGTACTAAATACCTACATTCTTAATACATGATCCGCACGCGGAGCATGTATTAAACACGGCCTCGTAGGCGCCCCTGGCTGCCGCGTTGTAGTCCTCCCGCGCGGCGCCCTCGTGCACCTCCGGAGGCAGCGCAGAAGGGTGCGGGGCGGCGGGGGCGGCATTCGGAAGGCACGGGGCCTCGGGGCGGCTTCTCGGAGGGGCCAAGGAGGCTTTCGAGGAGGACGAGGGGGGGCTTCGAAGGAGCCCTCTCGAGGGCCCTCCCAGCTTCCCCCTCTTTCAGCCTCCCCCCCTCCCCCCCCCTCCCTCCCTCCCTCTTCCTGCATTCGGCCGGTTCCTCCTCCGCCTTCGTCCCGCTCGAGGGCCTCGCAAACAGTTTTGTGGCAGCAGTTGGGCGCACGGGGGGGGAGAAACAAGTCTGCTCGTTTGGTGTTCTCGGGGGGCCAGTCGCATGGGAGGAGACGGCGGCCTCAGGCCGTGCGCTAGCCGAGGCACCAATGGCGATGAAAAAGCAGGTAGAAACATGAAGTGGGAAGGCGCTGAAAATAGATTGGGCGTCCGCCCGCCCCCTAAAGAGGACGGAAAAGGTGAAGCCACTCGATCATTGAAGCAGGAAGGCGCTTAAAGCAGATTGGAATCTGGGAATCCCGAAATACCTACTCTCAACGACCGATTGGTATTTGGATCAGTGGAGTGGTGGGCCACTCTAGGTTTTTCAGTGCGGGGCCCTGGAAATCCTGACCCTTGCCCCCCCGGGTTAGGTCGGGCATGTCTTCTTACCGGCGGATGTTTGACGAAAGTTAGAAGATAAGATGTTCAACCATTGACCAGAGTACGAACAAATCGTCCCCAGACTATTTGTTGACTATTTCTGACTACTCCTCCTGTAGAGGGACAGGCCCGACTCAAATCTATTGGGCGCCCGAGTTATCCGGGGTAACTCGGGTCCGGGGTAACTCGGGTTTGGGTTCCCGAAAAACGAACCCGAGTTAGCCCTGACCCGAGTTACCCCTGATGATTCGGGGCTCTGGACGCCCGAAATATCCGGGGTAACTCGGGTCCGGGGTAACTCGGGTTCGGAATCCCGAAAAACGAACCCGAGTTAGCCCTGACCCGAGTTACCCCTGATGATTCGGGGCTCTGGACGCCCGAGTTATCCGGGGTAACTCGGGTCCGGGGTAACTCGGGTTTGGATTCCCGAAAAACGAACCCGAGTTAGCCCTGACCCGAGTTACCCCTGATGATTCGGGGCTCTGAAATCTATGCGTTTCCATGCGGGGCCTCTGGAAGTCCCGATCCTTCCCCCCCGGGCCGGCTTCTCCTCCTGGGCCGCTCCCTTTGACGGTCCGGGAGGCCCAGGCCAGGGCCCCGACAGGCGCCGAACACTCTCAAAAAAAACTTGTCGTCCGCACTTTCCGCCACGACGCGAGGGGGTCCATCCTCCTCCTCCTCCTCATCATCATCATCCTGATCCTGATCCTGATCCTGATCCTGATCCTCCTCCTCCTGACCCTCCTCCTCCTCCTCCTGATCCTCGTCCTCCTCCTCCTCCTGATCCTCCTCCTCCTCCTCCTCCTCTCCTCCGCCGGCGCGTGCGGCGCTGCGGGACCCCTCGCGCCCCCGGGGCCTCTTCCTCTTCCTCCGCGTCGCATATATATATATAATATATATATATATTTATATTATACATACATACATACATACCTGTATACATATACATACGTACATACATGCTAGAACCATCGCGCGCGCCTCGCGAGCGCTCAAGTTCTAGCTAGCTTGAAGGATAGCGCGTAGCGGAGGGAAGAAGAGAGGTCAGCAGTGGCAGGCGACCTGGTCGAATTAGCCAGGATTGCGTCCTTCGTCCGTCGTCCTTCGTCTATAGTCGTCGCCACCCTCGTCGCCGTTGTCTGCGTCGTCGTTTTTTGTTCGAGGCGCTCTTCGTGTCCAAACGCACCCCTGGGCATCGCAGTTTTTTGGGCATCTTTGGCTGTCTGGGAAGCCTTTTGGGCGTCTCGGGAGCGTCGGGGGGGGGGGGTCTTGCGAGTTACGTGGGGCTTCCTGTTGGGTTTCTTGGAGCCCACGGCTTGAAATGTCCGTTCGGCCCCCGCCTGGACCGCTGGGTTCTTGGGGGTTTCTTTCCGGTCTCCTGGATGCTGCTCGGGGCCGCTTGGGAGCCTCTTGGGGGCCTCTTGGGCTCTCTTGGGGGCCTTTTGGGGCCTCCTCGGAGCATCATGGACTGGTTCTTGAAGTCGTCATGGGACCTTCTTAGCATGTCTTCGGGGGCCTCTTAGAAAGAATGTTGAGGCCTTTTGGGTGCCGTCTTGGGGCCTCTTTTCGGCTTCTTGGGGGCCTCCAAAACTTGTCTAGAGCGGCCTCACAGGCTGTCCAGACAGGCCACGCGGGGGACAATTGCTGCCGCCCCAAGGGGTTTGCGGTGTGGCGTAAGACAAGGAATCAACGTTTTTGCCCTCTCGGGGCGGTCTTGACGGATCCGCCACCACCGTCGCCCGGTCCACGGCTGGCGGGACCTTCCCGTCGGTGTCCTCGGGGGTGCCGAGCCACGGGTAGCACTGCTTCACGCGCCTTTCAAACGCCTCCTTGGCAGCGGCGATTGCGATGGGATTGCCAGCAGCATCTCTACAAAAAGCGGGGTGGCCGCGGTCGATGAGCTCCCAGCCGAGCTGCAGCACCACATGAGCGCGGAGGCGCATGTGCTTCAGGTGCTTCGACATGTCCTTGTCTTTCATCCGGAACTCGAAGCGAACCAAGTGGGCCAGCGTCTCGCCGTCGTGGGGCAGCGCCGCAGCAGCACTGGAACTCTCCGTGATGGCGAGCAGGCGCTCCAGGACGTCGTCCCAATGCACCAGGAAGCTGGCCAGATTACCGCGGACAGCGTACCGACTGTGCGGATGCATGGCCTCTGGGGTTCGCCGTGCGAGCAGCGCGCCACTACCCCCCGTGCGCCACTCGGCCACACTGCAGTTTCCAGGGGGGGCGGGGTCCGCAAAGAACAGAGAAGGGGCAGTGCCGCGCTACTTCGCGCAGCTCGCCTGATTGTTCATGAGGTGGCCCTTATCGCCCTCGACGTAGAACGCCATCAAACTCGTCCACACTGGCGTGGCCGCGGCCATCTCGATCCACCGGGGCTTGTGCTTCTCCCACCATGCCGACACGAACCCGACAAAGTTGTCGTTGGCGATGGCGGGACGCGGGATTCGCTCCCGCACCGTTCGCGTCTTCGCGAAAATGCCGCGGCACTGCCAGCACAGAGGTATGCGGCACGACTCGCACAGCTCATCAACAACTCCATGCTGACGGTCGCACACCACGTCTTCCGGGCAGCACAGGAAGCGCATGGAGTTCTGGCTTCCGTTCGGACCATTCCACCGCACCGTTCGCACCCACGGCGAAGACGCGGTTGTCTGCGTCGGATAGTGGTGCGACCGCGTCCCGCGGTGGTCCGGAGCAGGGTGCGGGAAGTGCGCCAGGAACGCGTCCAAGCCGAAGGCGTACTCCAGGAGCTCACGCGGACAACTGCGCAAGAGCCCGCGCAGTGGCGTCCATCCAATCTCACTGACTCCAGCGGACTCGGGGTCCTCGACACTCGTGTAGATCTGACCGCAGCAGAAGCACACCAGCGACGACAAACAAGCATCGTTCGCCACTTGCCTCATGGTGCGAATTGCCCGCCGGTCTCTGCAAATGCCGAGAGCTGGCATGCCAGTGCGCGCCCGGACCTCCACCGCCTGGCAGTAGATGGACCAGATCCACGCTTCCTGCTCCTCCAGCACCTCGGCATGGACGCCGACATCGTCGGCGCTGTCAGCGAGTCTCTTGTTCCACCCCTGCCTCCACGCTGCTGGGAGGCAGGCCTGGTGGCAGCTGATTACGTGGCGCCGCAAATCCCCTTCCGTCTCCCCGGTCCAGCGGCACTGCCGAACGGCGCAGTTGCAGATCGGCCACTGCAATCCGTCCATTACCTCCTGGATGTTGTCTGCGGCGTCCGACGGGTCGAACGGCGGAGGAAGCGTCGGGTCCTGCCGGAGAAATGCAGAGAAAGCCCGAGCTGCTTCGTGGGCGACGTCCAGCGTCGTGTGCGCCACGTCGGCGCCGCAGGCCAAGTGGTCAACGTCGGACTGCTCTGACCCGGCAGGGGCCTCCGACAGCTCGGAATTGGAGTCCGACGCCGGCTCTGAGGGCGATGACTCCCGGTCGGCGTCGGAGTCAGACTCGGGGGCCTCCGCGGCTGCAGCGGCATGCTCTTCGCGTTCGCCCTGCGGTCGGAGACGCCCTGACGCGGCGCGCGGCAGCCGCGCCCCGTCGGCGGCCTGCGGGCGCGCGTGGCTGCCGGAACTCGCGCCCGCCGCACTCCCTCTCAGTGAACTGCAAGCGCCCGGACGCCTCGGCTCAGGATGCGGCGGCGGCGGAGAAGGCGCCCGAGCGGGCGCGCCAGCGGAAGAGTCTGCCGCGCCGACTTCATGGCGCGAGCGTGGAGGCCGGGGTTCAGGATGCGGCGGCGGCGGTGGAGGTGGCAGCGGTGGCGCGGTCTCCACTCCCAGAGGGTCGTCGAGAATACGTAGAACCTGATGACAGAAAGCCGCCACGTCCTCCTCGCCGAATAGCGCATCCACGTCAGCGAAACACGACGGGTCGCTGAACTTCCCCCGGCACGCGGTCGACGGCTCCCACGGTCGCGGAGCGTTAGCTCCTGACGTCGCCACGTCCACCGCATCGTAGTGTGAATACCCGTCGACGTCATAGTGGACAAAAGCAAAATCGAGCACTGGGATTTGCGCACGTCCCTGCAGCAACCCCTGGTCCGGGAAGATGGCCGCCTGGCCCCACGCGTTGAATGGCACGTACAGAGCGAGAGCGCCACAAGCCTCCAGGAAGTGCGTGATCACAACAGCGTCTGCATATCGGCGCGTTGCCGACACGTCCTCCGAATGGAGGCCCATGCATATGTCCACGTAGAACACCTGCAGTGGGCGGGGGCAAGAGATAACGCGGGGGTCACTGCGACTCCGCCATTGAAAGCCAGACCAGTCCCCCCAAAAATTCCTTCGCCCGAGCGAACGCATAAGCGCGGCCCCAGACGCCCTCTCGGCAACGCCCCGACGGCCCCGCCCTCAGAGTTCGAAAGCATCGCGTGCCTCCTGTGCAAGCACTATTTGGGAAATGTGCTCCTGGATCTCCGGGCTCCGCGAAGGGCACCCCTTCCTCCCCGTGCCCGCGGCGCCACCTTCCAGTTGGGGAGACTGCCCCACGCGACGCCACTGGCCACCTGCGCTGGCAACTCCTTCTGCAGGCGGGCCCTCCTCTCCACGGCGTACTCGTCCAGCTGCAGCGCCTCGAACAATTGCTGGTTCCGCTGCCTCATCATCTTCACCAGCGCCCATCTGTACAGCTTCCAAGCCGCGCGGCCTGGAAGTCCCAGTTCGGCAGCCGCAGCGCGGAAAAAGCACAGCCCGTCTCCACGAACAGGGCGCACGGACAGCCGCATCCCTGGCCGCGTCGCCGAGAGCAGATCAGCCACGCGACCCAGCGACTCGTTGGCGCAACTAATGCGGGACCGCCTGATGGCCTCCCCGTCATCGTCGAGCCCAACCTCGCTCACGCGCGCCTGGTCGACTGCGATCTCCTCGTCGCTCGACTCCGCCATGGCGCGCCAGAAGCGTCGCCGCCCCGCGGGCCAACTGGGCAGCCCTGACTGCGGCAAGACTGGGCCCCGGAGCCGCTATCGAGCCCACATGGTTTACAGATGCCGCGCGCGCTGAGATGGGCCATTGTGGGACGCACGGCTAATGGGCGAATTCCGATGCGACCTCAGGTTGCGCGGCGCTCGGCGCATGCTCCGGGGTTGTTTTCAAAATGGTCTTGCATTGAAGCGTGATTTTCGGAAGGGCGCCCGCAGACGCCACGCAGCCCCCTGGGGCTCCACGATCCCGGAAGTCTAAAAGGACCTGGGGTTCACAGAGACAGAATGGATCACAACCTCCGATGCCCCAGCGAACGTGCTGCCCGCCCACAGGGGTCGGATCAAAAGGCCTCGAAGGTGCAGCCAGGAAGCAGAATCACAGAGCCCGAGATCGGCTTGGCCATCGCTCCCCGGAGTATCTCCCGCGGTCACTGCGGGTTCGCATTGAAGTTTAAACGCGACCTCAGGTTGCGGGACAGACAACGCAGAAGTTCCCCAGCAGTGATGAAGACGATGGTGGTGCTCATGATGGTGACCGTTATCGTGTGGCCTCGTGCGCCGGCGAGTGATGATGACGATGGTGGTGCCGGCGATGGTGATGCCGATGGTGGTGTTTGTCGTCCTGGTGGTGCTGATGATGGCAGGTAGGATGATGATGGCGAGGCTGATGATGAAGGAGGTTGCTTTCAAAAATCGGACAGACCACTGGGATAGCTTCAGAAAGATGAGGGAGGGAGGTTTTTGCAACAGCGCTGGACGTACAAGCCTAGACCGAGCGTTTGGGGTTATGGCTGCTTTCGCTTTTTATTGTGCTCGAAAAAGGTCAAAGCTAATGCACATGCAGCACCGTGCGAGCAGCTGCGGATCGAAAGTCTCGATAATCATGGGAGCGCGCTGTATGGCCGACGGGGAGAGCTGGAAAATGTTACTACCTGAGCGCTGGACTACCTGAGCGCTGGAACGAGTCATGCGGGTTCACCCCTCAGTGTCAAGAGATGTGCAAGCACGACGAGGCGTTGGTCAAGAGGCCTGGTCAAAACTGCCGCTGAGAAGGCAAAGCTGGTTCTAGCCGAGTCTGTGGCTCGGCAGTCGTGGCGCTGAGAGGGCAAGGCTGGTTGTAGCCGAATATACTCGGGAATTGCCAGGGGTGCCCCCGGCCCAATGCGCTTCTGGCTTCTCGTGCCATTTTAGAGCCCCCAGGGCCCTCTGACCCCCGCGAGGAGCGCTCTGGAGGCCGCGGGGGCCCCCGCGGAACTTCTGGGGCACCTTGGGCCAAGGACACCTTGAGCATCATCCGATATAGCGCCGGCCAGCCTGCGCTCGGAGCGGCGCTACTTCCCGGCGCCGCCCTGGCGCGGCACGGCCGCGGCAACCGCGGCGAGGGCATCGAGGTTGAGGGCGCTCACTGTCTCCGCGTTCTCCATGGGCTCCAGGGCGCGCAGGAGGTCGCCCGTGGGGGGGCTGTCGCGCACGAGCACAAGCAGAACCTCCAGGCCGTCGAGCAAGGGCTCCAGCCCGTCGAGCTTCGCCATGTCGTCCGCCAGCATGGCCGCCTGCGCATCTGCCTGCAATGATTCGAGGAAGCGATCAAGCTTCGCCACGATGTTCGCAGCGGCCGCCTCCGGCGACATGTCCCTCGCCGCCGCCGCGGCTGCCATGTCCCCCTCGATGATCGTCAGGCGCTGCGCCCACTCGAGCCTTCGAACGGGGGTTGCATTTCCCGAGGCAACGCGCCCTCTGCGCCGCCGCATCGGGAGCGGTGCGCGGGGATCGGGAAGACCGCGACATGAACGCGATAATCATAGCCGCGCTTGCCTTCCCGACGCGGAAACGCCCGGGCGCCCCCCCCGAAAATGCAACCCTCGCGCGGCAACCTGTCGGCCGGGAAAGCCGCCGCCGGCCAGCGAGACACGGTGCCCGCGAGCGCCTCCGCGCCGACCCCCGGCATCTCCACGAAACGCTTGACCGCGGCAGCGATGTCCAGCTGAATGCCCTTGAACGCACGGTATTTCGCCCTCTCCGCAGACTGCGCTGCGCTCCGCGCTTCCCCCGCTGCGAACGCCGTCGCCGCCTCGAGGTACGCGCCCACCGTCACCTCCGCCGCGGCGGCGGTCGGCGCCGGGACGGCGTGGGCCAGCGGCGCGGCCGCGGGCGCCGGCGCCTGCGCATCCCCGGCGACGCCCGCAGGCGGAGCCACCGCCGGGACCGCCAAGGCTCCGCCGCTGGCCATTGAAGCGGCACCGACCGCCGGGGCGCCCGCGGGCGCACGCGCCGGTGGCGCGGCATCCGCGCCCGCGCCAACCGCCGCCAACGTCATCGCCATCGACGCGGCAACGCCGCCCGCCGTCGCCACCTGGGACGCGCCGGCGGCGCGCGTCACTTCCGCCGCCGCGGCCGCTGACGGCGGCGCCGCGCCAGCGCCAACCGCCTCCGCCCCCGCCGTCGGCGATTCAGCGACGCCGCCCGCCATCGACATCTGGAAAACGCCGGCGGCGGTTGTCTCTTTCGCCATCTCTGCCTGCGTCCCGCGCTGCCCCGCATCCACGGACAGCGTGACCGCGGCGAAGTGCTCCGCGATGAGTTTGTCCTCGCGCGCCTTCACCTTCGCGGCCACTCCGGTCAAGTCCGTCGCCGGGGCGCAGGCCGTGAAGACGGACCGGAACCGCTCCACCGCGCAAGCGCATAGAGCTCCAGACGGGACGAGGAACGGGTACTCCTGCACCAGATCGAGGAGCCCATCGACGTACTTGTCGGCGACCAGTCCCACTGGGCGAATCTGCACGGAATGCCACGACGTCCACCTGGAATGGTTCGTGGAATTCGTGTTCTCCCGGAACAGCAGCTTCGACGCTCCGCCCTGGCGCGAGAACCCTCCTGGGCGGCCAACGGCATTTACGCCCATGGCCTCGCCGATCAGTTGGCGCAGCACGGCGCGGAACTCCTCGAAGGTCTGCGTGTACATCCCGAAGCACCACGCACCTGGGGCATTCGCAATGCCGCCCTCTGCCGTTTCCTGGACGACAGCAGTCGGGTTGTCCTGGTGCGACGGGCCCATGTACTCGGCCACGACGTTCTGCGGCAACCCAGCATTGAATGCTGTGGCCCACTCGGGGACGTTGGCCGCATTCTTGGAAATCAAGCCGGACATCCAACGAACTGCGTTCTTGGACTCCTTCCTGCAGACAAGCTCGCCCGCATCCGCGAGCACTCCGACGATGCCGCCATCAAATGCCAGGCCCTTTGCCTGCACACTGACGTCGAAGAATACCTCCAGCACCATGGCCTGGACCTTCGCGTTCGCGTCCATCTTGCGGGCCTTCAGCGGGGAGCCACCGGCCGACTGGAGGAACGAGGTCATGCTGAGGAAGTCAACGCGAGTTCGCTTGCCTGAGAGAACACCTTGGTCCGAAGTGGCTGCGGGACTTCCACCTTGCCTTCTCTTTCAGATGGACAGCCTTCATCTGCAGGGCCCTTGGCGTCCACGACGGCCCCATATGCCTCCACAGTGACAGTAGGACGCCCAGAAGAGGCCCCCAATAATGCCTCCGCAGACCCAAAAGTGACCCGGCAGGCCTGCAAAATGGCGCAGCTCGCCCGCGCGCATGAAAAGATATCCCCAGAATGCCTCCGAATAAATTCAAATGATATAGCAGCGGTGCTGCGAAGACAGGAACGAATCCCACAGACGGGCCAAAGTAGCCCCAAGAGGCCCCAAGAAGGCCCCAAAGATCCTCCTACGAACCCGCGAAAATGGCGAGCGCCCCCAAAGAGCCCCCGATGGGAAAGACGAACTGGCATTTTGAACCTTTCCCCCCAAGATGGCCCCCAAGAAAAAGAAAAGCCTCCCGCGGGCTCCCTGAAAAGACCCCAAAAGGCTCCAAGATGGTCTCGCGATGAGGCCCCCGAAAGCGCCCCAAGACAGCCCAAGGTGACCCCAATAAGGTCGGCTGAAGAGGCTCCCAAAATGGCCTCAAGATCAGAGGCCCCCAAGAGTGCCCCAAGACAGCCCAAGGTGCCCCCAACAAGGTCGGGGACGGCCAGCGCGACAACGAGTATGGACCAGGATGGACATCAAGACGGCCGACACGGCCTTCAACGTGAAGGCTGAGTGACTCTGAATGTGAGTGAGTCTGAATGTGAATGTGTCTTCGCGTGTGAGTCTGAATATGACTGAGCACACTGTTACTGTATCTGGGTGTGAGCGGCATGCGGAAGACTCAGTCAGGGAATCAGAGAATCTGAGTTGGAGTCTGAATGGGCTGTAGGGCTATAGGGCTATAGGGCTCTAGAGCTATGCGGCTATAGGGCTATAGAGCTATGCGGCTATAGGGCTATAGGGCTATACGGCTATAGGGCTCTAGGGCTCAAGGGCAAAAGGGATATAAGGCTATAGGGCTATAGGGCTATAGGCCTATAGAACTATAGGGCTACAGGGATATAGGGCTATGGAGCTATACGGGTATGGGGATATAGATGTGAAGGAATATCGGACTACATTGCTATATGGGCTATTGGGCTATTGGGCTACAGGACTATAGGGCTAAAGGGTTATAGGGCTATAGGGCTATAGGGCTATAGGGCTATACGGCTATAGGGCTATAAGGCTACAGGGCTATAGTGCTCTAGGGCTCTAGGGCTATAGGGCTATAAGGCTGTAGGGCTATAGGGCTATGTAGGCTATAGGGCTTTAGAGCTATGGGGCTATAGGGCTATAGGGCTATAAAGCTATAGGGCTCTAGGGCTCTAGGAATATAGGGCTATAGGGCTACAGGGCTATAGGGCTATAGGGCCTCCGAATGCCCCCAGAAAGCTCCAAAGATGCTCCAGGAGTGCAAAGTCGATCAGGGCCCCCGCTGGAAACACGAAACAGCGAGAAGCACACGACCACGACCTCTGACGGTGCGCTTTGACCAGAGTTCCGAGGTGAATCCAGCCGTGACGCCGAGGGTCCCCCAGGCGAAAAC